TTCGTAACACATAGGATTATTTTGGGCTAATAATTAATAACGAGCTTGTATTAGCAGGAAGTTTTGCTGAAAGTACAAAATGAAAAATTCCCATACAGGGTGTACCGTGAGGAAATGGACATTGTGAAACGGTAGGTGCTATGGACCGAGACTTGTTTCATATAACTCAAATATCTTTCTTCAACGAAAACGTTTTTAAAAAAGATTTATTTTTGAGAAAAATCAAATACAATGATGTTAATTGAATGAGTTCTGAATCGAGACTGACCAAAGTAAAGAACAAATGAAATCCAATACTGAAACTGATAAGAAAGGAACGTGGAGGCAAAAGTCCTTGTTCAGCATCTTCTTCTCTATAGACTGGTACATAACTCCTCCACCTCTAGAATGAGGTTTCCCCTGGAAGGTGAATTTCTTCCTTCTTATATCTTGAACTGGGATCTTCTCTTCTAGTGCGTTTTGTGGGACTTGGACCTTCTTCTTTCATCTCGGCTAATTCAATGTCGATTTCTAACTTGGATGCTTTCTTGTTTCTCCATCTTCTATATAAAATTATGCAGCAGATGCTTGAAAATACGAAATATAGTAATATGGTCCAAATACTGGGTTTTCCAAAATTTTCTATGGAATTTTCTTCTAAAATTGGTAACATTCGATTAACTTGTAATTCTGGTAGATTTAACGTTTTCAGAGTAATTTGTGACTCTGGGATATTTTGTTTCATAAAATGGAAATCCATTTTGTCAGCTACGAGGGGCTTTCCATAGGTTTTGTCTTGAAAGATAATTTCATCGTCTTGGAATAATATTTGGCATTCACTGGCTTTGACTAAGAAAATGCCAAGTAATGACTTTGTATCGATTTGCTCCTTGCATTTAATTTTCAATTTTTCTTCGGTGAGAAATACAGCTAAATACTGGTTAATTTCGGGAATAAATTCAATGTGATTTTCTTCAATCTGAAGCTTCGTGTATCTACATGGCTCTGTATGATCTTCTGTAATTATTGACTTCTCGCATTGGGCTTTGTGATTGGCTAATATACGATTAGGGCATTGATAGATTCTACCTTGGGTACAAATCTCGTGCAGGGGTTTGATCTCATTTCGATCAGATTTTAGCAAATACTTATAATTTGGGATAATAGTGACGAATTCTGATTTGTGCATCAGAGTCGGTATAGGTGACATATAATAAAGATCAAAATGTTCAGGATAATCTATCGGAATAGATAGAAAATAACTTATTTGATTCTCATCGATTTTACAACTGATAGAAATAATAGATTCATAATCTAGCATATTTTCATACTTTACTTCAAATGGTAATTCATTTTTATAAAATGTGGATATCTTATGGAGTTCTTGAAATAATTCTCTAGTCCTTATTATACTGGGATGCATGGTTTTCAATTTGCAAAAAGTTATTGAATTTTCGATATCTTGTAAAATATTCAATATGGCATTATAGAGGATAATTAATTGATTGATAATGTCCTTCGCTGAAAGAATATCCTGGTTTGTTGTCTGGTTCAATAAAATATGTTTCAATTGTAAAATGTTATTCCTTAATGTCATCTCATTGTGCTGTATATCTTGAATAGTCCCGTTAAATTTTGCGACAAGTTCATTGTTTACTGAATATTGCATTCTCAGCTGATTTTGAATATGGTGCTGATTTTCTTGTAAATGAGACAAAATTTTATCAATACGTCGGAGTCTAAATTTCCTGTTATTGTTTTTACTACATAGCCTATGCCATTAAAAAGTCCTCTCTTATGCGAGTCTTTTGAGAATGAGATTTAATGTATTCGATTTTCTCTTGAATCAAGCTCCTTATATAAGATACTATCTTACTATAATTTTCTAGCTCGTTATTAATCTTAGAATGGTTTCTGTAACTCTAGTTAAGATTACTGTATTGAATATTCAAGTCTTCATATTCCTTATATAAAGGTGATAGATCATAATAGTGTACAAAAGTATGTTTTGTCTTTTGTAGCCTAGCTGTGCCTAAATTTACTGGCAAAATTCCTAAATTGTTCGTTATGTTTCTTATTTCTGCTCCGCATCCGAAATAGATGAGGAATCTGAAATATTAGTAAATTTAAATTGATAAGTTTTCTTCCTGGGCCTTTTAATATTGGATAAATGGATATTTTTGGAAGTATTGGCATGTGTGGGATCTATCTCCGCTCTTTTTAATTTCTTATCTATACTAATTAATTTTTCTTGCTTATACTTATTTTTAGTTTTCTGTTGCTTCTGTTTATTCTTAACATATACCTTGTTAGGAATATCAGGCAAAACTTCACGTTTCTCATTTGCTTTATTTATAACTTTTTCTTTATTCTGTAATATCTTTTCATTTAAATTCCTATATACTAATTTCATTATTCCCTTATGATTCTGTAAATAATTATTTAATAATTGCTTATCTATGTTTATATTAAAAGGTGATTCTGTATTGAAATGACCAGTAATCACTTCATAGGGTTTAAGATTGGTTACAGAATGTATTGTGTTATTATAAGCTAATACGTTATAGCGTAATTTACCTTAGTTTCTATAGGTTCGTTCTTGTATTCTACCTGATTATTTAATAATCTTAAATGTTCTATGAGCGTTAAGTGGAAACGTTCTACGGTTCCGTTAGATTCTGGGTGCTGTGAACTAATAAAATGTATTTTGACTTTACGCAATTCTAAAAGTTCTTTGAATACTGAATTTTTTAATTCTGTGCCATTGTCGAAAATCATTTGATCTGGTATACAGTGATGTGTAAAATATCTTATAAAATTATTTGTTACCTCTACTCCATTGGCAGAGTTCAACATGTAAGCCTGACCGTAATGAATCGGTCATAGCCAAAAAATTTGCGTTTTCTAAAGAAATAGTGTCTACGTATAAAATTTGGAATGGTTGGCGTAATACTATATTCAAGTTTTAACGGATGTCTGTCGTATTTTGTTAACTGACAGATTTCACACTCATTAATATAAGTCTGTATCGAGTTTCTTAAATTCGGCCAATAATATATTTGTTTTATTCTTTTATCAGTTTCATCGATTCCTCGATGATTGGTTTTACCTTCGTGATAATTCTTAATTATATCCGTAATCTCATTTTGATCTGTAACGTCCATCAATTTCTTTGTGCATTTTACTAGATTTATTTGGGAATTTTTGAAATATGTTTGAAGAACTACGCTAAACTTTTCATAGACTGGGTCTTCAAAATACGAGTATAAACAATATTTTACCTTTGGTGCAATAAATTCTTTTACAAATTTAATTGTATCAGCTTCAAAATTGTTCTTTGATAATTGAACGGATATTCGTTGTTTATTCACATGTATTCTACTAATTACTGGATCAGCTGGTTCGAGGTTTACTTCGGAAATAATAATTTGATTGCACAATTTACTGCTGTATCACTAATTGGAATATTTATCGTGGGATTTTCTATATTAGAATGAACGGTGTGTCCTGATGAATCATTTTCATTTTCATCAATTTTATCTAAATCATTGGGTTGAGGTGCGATCGAATAGTTATCGGTCTGATTGGGAATATTGGAAATATTCGATGGACCCGCTTGATTTTCAAGACTTCTATTAAATTCTTTCATGTATTGTGCCAGTGGAGTCGGTGCTCCTGTTTCATTAACATTTACTTCTATTCTAGATAAAAAGTCCGCATTTGTGTTTGATTTGCCTTTCCTGTAAACAATGTCAAAATCATGTTCTTCTAATCTTAAGCGCCATCTTAGTAATTTTGAACTAGCATCTCTAACTGAAAATAACCATTGGAGGCTTTTGTGATCTGTTACAATAGTAAACTTACGTCCGAAAATATAAGGTCTGAAATATTTTACTGCATATACGATACTTAGAAGTTCTTTTGCTGTCGTGCTATACTTTGTTTCTGAAGCACTTAATGTTCGTGAGGCGTACGCTATTGGTAAATCTGAGCCTAATTTACCTTGGGATAATATTGCGCCGATTGCATAATTACTTGCAACCGTAGTTATCAAGAATGGTTTGGAAAAATCCGGATATTGGAGTATCGGATCGTTTGTCAATAGAGTCTTGCATAATTCGAAACATTTAATATAATCTGCGACATTGGGATTAATAATTGCATCTTTTTTCAATCTGATTGTCAATGGCTTAGTGATTTTCGCAAAATCTTTTATAAACTTACGGTAATAACCTAAAGGTCCAAGAAAGCCTTTAATTTGCTTCTTAGTTTTTGGTATTTTAAATTCTGTGATTGCCTTATCGGGGTTTGGTTTCACACCATCCGCCGTTACAACATGTCCTAAATACGATAATTCTTTTCTAAGAAATTCCGATTTGTCTAACTGTATTTTTTAAATTTGACTGACGTAACCTTTCAAAAACTTCTCTAAGTCGATAAATGTGTTCCTGTAAACTAGAACTGAATATTATAATGTCATCTAAATATACTAAGCATTTTTCATTTTGAATACCTCTCAGTATGTTATCCATTACGCGCTGGAAAGTCGCTGGCGCGTTTTTTAGACCAAATGGCATTCTTGTAAACTCGTAGTGTCCATTTTCTGTATTGAATGCAGTTTTTTGAATATCCTCTTCTGCCATTTCTATTTGGTGAAAACCAGAAGCTAAGTCTAATGTTGAAAAATATTGGCATCGCCCTAATTTATCTAACAAATCTGTTATGTTTGGAAGAGGATAACGATCTCCCAATGTTTTTTCATTCAATTTTCTATAGTCGATGACTATTCTCCATTTTTGCTTTCCCGATGCGTCTAATTTTTTTGGAACAATCCGTATAGGTGAGCACCACGCTGAATGGCTCTCTCTAATAAATAATTTTTTGATCAAGCATTGATTGTATTTGTCTTTGTACCTCTTTTCGGTGGATTTCAGGATATCTGTATGATTTAGTGTAAATAGGTATTTCATCGCTTGTACGTATATGATGCTTAATTTTGCTCGTAAAAGTTAAGTAATTACCATCTATGTGAAATATGTCTGAATACTCTCTCACTAACTTGGTGATTGCGTCTTGTTCTTCAGAGTTCATATGCTCTGTCCTAATTTTGGAAATATCAAATTTATATTTTTGAAAGTTCAAAGAATTAATATTCGGTGGATCAGAATTTTCTGAAAATTCGTAATTTTCAAAATTTTCTACATCTATTGGTCGATTTCTAAACATGATAATTTTCTGTATGGAATAATAGCATTACCATTTTTTAATTTTTTTATGTTAACTTTAATTATCTGTTCTGTTCTGGGTGGAACAGTGATAACATTAGAAGAATTTTTTGTAATCTCGTGATATTGCATGGGTATCCTTGTTGTGGGTGTGACTAAAAGATCATTGCTCAAATCAATGTTGGCATTCAATATCTCTTTCAGGTTATCGAGTCCTAAAAGGCATTGGAAATGTTCGTGAAACTTGAATAAATGAAATTTCATGAGAATATTTGTGTTCTTAGAAATCTTTGGACAAGGTATTGTCATACTATATTGTTCGATAGATGAACCATGTGCTGAAATGATTTGATATGGGTCTTTTTGAATATGTCTTGAAAATAATTGTTTTGCAATTTCAGGGTGTATGAAAGATTTTGTACTTCCAGTATCAATCAATACTTTGAGATTATACTCCGAAAATACAATGTATGGTAGTTTGCTACATTTGTCGGCTAAACTCATAATTTCAATTGACTTTGGTGGTCCGTTGAAACTCGTGGTTGTCTCTGTACCGAGGCTTCTTGCCCTAAAAAATCGTCAGAATTATTCTGAGAATAAGCGCATTCATAATTGTCATCATTTGGAAATTCTACAACAGGTTGGTCTTGTACACACAAGTTAAACATAGTCTGTTCTGCGTTTACACCAGGTCTGTTAAAATTTCTACCTTGAAAATTTGGTTGCTGATACGTCTGTCTAGTGGATGTACTCATCGGAGTAGGCCTTGGCAGATTATAAATAAAGGGTGATCCATCTGTTGGTTAATTTTTAAATCGATGGTTAAAATGAAAACGCAGAGTTCTTTTTCCAAACGGGTTTCTTATTTGGGAGTACTATCCTTCCGGTTAATGATGAAACACAATCTCATTCATATACGCGCCAGCGCTAAGCTTGACGTAACCGATTCTCTCGACCCAATTTTTCCGTACATTTGCCAAAGTCTGCGGCATTATCTCACCAATGGCTGCATCAATGTTGGTCTTCAAGTGCTCAATCGTCGCTGGGGCATCCGCATAGCATTTATATTTAACGCTTGCCCACAAAGAATAATTCAACGGAGTTAAATCCCAGCTTTGCGGTGGCCAAGTCACATCACCCAAACGGCTGATTACGCGATTTTTGAACTGTTCTTGAAGAAGAACGATTGTTTCGCGGCTTGTGGAACCACACTCCATACAAGTCTCCCGGAAGGAAATAGTCAATGACGGCGCGTCCTTCATCTTTGAAAAAAGGGCCAATAATGCCACCAAACCACAAACCACACCAAACAGTCACACGTGGCGGATGCATTGGCTTTTAGGTAATTTCATTTGGCTTTCATACGGCAATTTTGCTTATTGACGTAGCCACCAAGATGAATATGGGCCTCATCCGAAAAAATGATTTTTCAGTAAAAATGGAGGTCCTCCTCCAAACGTCCAATTTTGAGCGCTTCCCAACGTTGTTCAAGCATATGTAGATCCATATTAGTTCACCGAAGATTCTTTACTAAGTTCCTGCAAAACAGAACTAATGTAAGTGTTGCCAACCTTGGCATAAGCCCTAGTTCAAAAATTAACCAACAGGTGGATCACCCTTTATCGTCCTATAGTGCCATCTCTAAAGCAGATGTTACATCGCAACAGAGACAAACCATACAGCTCAAGTGTCGTGACGCTTAGGCAACACGCACAGCTAGTACAAGTGAACATGAAGTGACTGAGCTAGTTCCAAGGTGACATTTTTCCGGAAAAACCTACACTATGTCATTAAAAATCGATATATTGTTGTTAAGTTACGTTATACGGCTTAACGAATTTTGACATTTGAGGCGTCCGGCTAGGAAGTGTCCAGAGTCCCGTCTGACCAAAATGGATATATTTCGACAGGGAATTTGCATCGTACATATTTATTCGACATTCGTTTTCTTAGCGAGATCGTGTGTACAAACTTTCCTCTATAGAGAATAGTAAACATAGACTTTGTAAGTAAGGATTTTTTTAAGAATTCAGGAATAAATAATGAGATTCCGAATAGATGGACTTAACGCCTTGCTATTTTTCCTGTGGTGCTATTTGAAAGGTTGGTGTATCAGGATGGAGCAGTACCTAAGCACTCTGGAAGAACTTCAACAGCGCAATGAAAATGCTTGTGATTCAATTCGTGGACACCAGGATTTTATACTTGAAGCTTGTGAAGAGTCGTGGATTTGCCAATCGAATAAATGGGGACAATTTTGAACAGGTTTTGTAAAAACTGTATCCATTTAACTTGATAACGACTTTTTTTAATAAATAATTTTTAATAATGCAAACTAACTCTTTTATTACGCAACTATTATATAGGTGATTTTTGGTATATCAACTTTTTTTGACGAGCTCTATAAGCTGTTAAAATAAATGACTCAACTTTGAAAACACCCTGTATATGATCTTAAGAACTGTGCGTTTGCAATTTTTTTCTTGTACAGAAGCTACCAAGACCATATATGTGAAAATAATGTTTTATTTTTTTTTATTTGAATCGTTTTGGATAGGTGGGTTGACGCTATATATATCCCGCCCAAAATATCAGCCTAAATATAGACTTCGATTTAACGATTTCCAAATTTAAAGCAGATTGGAGAAAAAAATTATCAATGTTTTTCTGTTGATAATTACTAAGCGCTATTGGGCCGGGAAGTATTTTTTTCAAATCTTTCAGGATTCAGGACCGGCTAGTAAAGTCTACATTATAAATAGGTTTTTCGAGCGTTGTGTCTTACTTTTTAGCCCTCGTACTTCTTTATGCCCTAGGAGAGTAAAGTATAGTTTTAGTACCCGCTGTCAAAAATTGATCTATAATCATCGTTCAACAGAGCTGTCCATACATAGTTGTTTTTAGGCAACGACTTCAACTACCAGCTCGGTGATATATAATATGGGCAATTTGTTTATTTCTGTGCGTCCACTTAGGTACACTTACCCGGTTGCAGATGAATTTTGAGATGTATCTCGAGCGTAATAATTATGTGTTTATGTCCATTGGCATGTAAATTCCACGACGCGAGCCATAATCACCCGCGTAATGCTTAGATAGACAACTAACCATTATGACTATCCGTCGGTTCCCATGAAAATCGCCATAATTCTTAAGACAAAATTGCCCATGGACCTAGAAAATTAATATACGGACTTACGGGTGGCTTGCGAAATAGACGGGGGTCAGAGTTTCATTGCAGAAGCAAATCATCCTCATTTTTACGTTTTTAATTTACGTTCTTCATGGGCGTCCTATGTATACTACCGACTTAAACATGATCACTTGAGAAAAGTTCGTAGGGGTTTTATTAATTTTTTATGAGTTCATGGGCTTCCTATGTATACTACCGACTTAAAAATTCATTTATTATAGTAGCCTAAGATAGTCCATACTGATTAGTCACCTAAAAAAGCATCACAGGTCTTCAAATTCGGCCTTATTTCAACAGGTCGAATATCATAATATATTATTTGCCGCCATAATAGCCAAAATTATCCCAGTTCCACATACGTCAAATTTTAAAGTTTGCTTGAAAGTAATATAAAGGGCGATCTTGAATGAAGGATGACTAGAAAGAAGAAATATGATATAAATGAAGACATTATAGCTCCCCGTAGCCCAATAACACCGATTTAAATTGGTAGTAATAGTGTAGATGCTATAAAAAAGGAAAATGCTTCTCTGCAATAGCGGTTAAAAGAAAAAGAAAAACTAATACACCAATTAATAAATGAAAATAAAAGGCTTATAGACCAATATGAATTAGTCATCTCAAAATTTGCAGAAAAAGACTCGATGATATCAACATTAGAAAAACTAGCAACCCAACCTGAAATAGTAGAAAAAAGATCTTATGAAAGTAAAAGTTACTCACAAATCCTGAAGCAAAATATCCCCAATCCGAATCACAACACGCGAACTAAAAGCACTACCGTTACACCTGAATCATCATAAGACTGTAACGACACAATAAAAGGTTGAGAATTCTAGAAATGGAGGAGTTAAAATTAAAGTGATCGAAGACTATTACGAAAAAATAAGACACGAATTGAAAAAAAAATAAAGGAAAATACATCATTTCTGGCCCGAAACTAGTGAAGCCTAGAATCAAAATAACAGGTTATAGAAGCGATGAAAAGTCTACTGAAAAAAAGTTAAACATGAAATGGTACAACAAAATCACTTCACCGCCAAAAACGATATTGGAATTACATATGTATATAAAACATATGACAGACCGCAATAGTTACACAATTTTTGCGGAAGCATCCCGCGAAATCTACAGAGACGTATTTGAAAAGAAGAATGCAAAAGTTATTCTGGGGTGGCAGAACTTGCCTGTCTACGATGATAATGAAATGACGCAATGAAGAAAATGTCTGAAATTCGATCATCAGCAAAAAAATTAAGGGGCGTTTCAATCTGCGCAAAATGTGGAGATGGACATGACACTGTGACTTGTAAATTGTATTTTTTCTAAATGTATCAATTGTATAAATTGTAACAGTAAGTATAAGGAAACTCGTGATGTAAACCACTCGGCTACAGACAAACATTTCCCCACTTACAAATATTTTCAAGACCAACATTTTTCAAAAATAATGATTTGAAAATTTTATTTTCACCTTTATTAAAAAGAAACTTTTTATTTATATAATGAATTATTATTATATTAGAGATATAAACTATACACATTTTCAAACGATGATCCGGACAGTGCTCTGGAATATATTGCTTCAGGTGGAAATAATTTCAGTATGTTTTACCACAGTATAAGGAGTCTAAATAAGAGTTTTGATGAGCTAAACGTATGCTTGAGTTCTTTTAAGGTAAA